ACGTCAACTATCAAGCGGCGCAGGGCAGGAAAAAGGAAGGAAAAACAAATGGGTTTAAAAACTTGAGTTTGCTGTTTGTAAAGCGTACAGGATAATTCGTTATAGTTTTAGCGACTCGGACGCCATCAAATCCAGGCAATGTGCACCGGGGGGGGGTACACCTTTATAAGGGCTTAATGGGGACGTGCGGCCAGCCAGGGTATGTTTTTCGGGATTTTTGTCTTAAACAGGGTATCGAATTTATCATTTTTTGTCTTAATCAGGGTATCGATTTATTAATTTTTGTCTTAAACAGGATAAAAATGTCTTAAACAGGGTATCAAAAATCGGAATTCTGTCTTAAACAGGGTAGGAAAATCAGCGATATTTGTCTTAAACAGGGTCAGGGTATGAGGGGCCGCGCCGCACCTCCCCACCCAGGGATATATCGAGTACTCCCCCCGGGAATGTGCACTTAAATGGCTTCAGCTCTTCGTATTAAAACGCATCGTGATAATCACGTCACTCGCTATCTTTTTAAAAAGCTAAAGCGCCAGTCTACTCATCAACTGAATTCCAAAAATAATGGCCCGGTTTTGATTGTTAGTGCTCCCTAATGAAATTTGTTCAATGTCTTCTTTATAACTATGCAGGAGTATCAGGAGTATGTTGTATGGTTAAATGCACTATTCAATGACTTTAGCACGGAATTGACTTAAACACGCCGCCGGGCCAAACCACCCCACAAATTGACCATAAAGTGTCCTAAATTTTGTTTAAGTTACAAATTTCACAATAACTTTGTTGGCTCTAACTCTTTCCTTATCAAACATGGCCAGAAAGTATAAAATATCAAGCCAATCAAATTGGCCAATATTTTGACATCAAAATGCCAAAATTTGATGTCCAAATTGCTGACACATTTCATACGTAAATTTTAAACTTTAGAATCTTCCTAACTTTATATCAAGACGAGTTGAAAGCCGAAAATTTTGTTCCAATATCTCAAACATGAGCTGAAATGTGGCATTTTTTATTTAAATAGATAAATTCGTACCACAAAAACCCAAAGGGTTTTTTTGTCGTATCACCATTGCTATTTAATATAAACATAACACATATTTATTGTCGAAAGCTAAAGGAAAAAGAAAATTTTGAAAAAGCAAATTCCTAATTGCACTCCCCACCCCCCCGAAAAAATAATTTTGTGACGTGATTTTTTTTTTGGTTTTGCCTAAATTAGCTTTTGTGAGTCAACCGTCGCCTGGTTAGCTCAGTTGGGAGAGCTTCGGTCTGCTGAGCGAAAGCGCGTTGCGAATTCAAACCCCGGCCGGACCAACACTCAGGGTCTTTAAAATAACTGAGTGCTGCCTTGGCAATGACATCTGCAAACGGTTAGACTTTCTAGTCTCCTCGGATAAGGACGAAAAACCGTAGGTTCCGTCTCACAGCTCTTTCACTTATCTGGTTCTTGCAGGACGTAAAAGAACCCACAGAAAAAGAAGAAGAAGAAAAGAAGAGGGGACGTATTCCTCGGTGGCGTAGCCAACCTCTCCTGGTCTAGGTGTGTCATCTGCAAGGACACAATTAAATTGGAGCCCCGCTCTGTTGTGTATTCCGCACTATATGGTGGAAGTGATTAAATAGAAGACGAAAATCTAAAATGATAAATCTAAAATGATACAATTTTGAGCAACTATATAAGGTTTAAGTTACCGGAAAATCAACTTTTTTGCAAAAAGATGTAAAAAATACATCAAAGGGTTCCTTTTGTAAGGAAAAGTATGGTTCCGGGGCTGTACTAAAATATCAGTTAGAGTCCCATAACTCGCCCTCTACATGTGCGTGGCCAGAAACGGTTTTCGGCGTTTTACTCCCCTTCTAACTCTCTTTAAGATCATTTAAGTTTGACTTTGAAATTTAAAAACATTAACTTAACCCATTTTGGCGACGAGAGCCCTTGTGACGTCATAATTTGACATTTTGCTTCAAACAAATATTCGAAGTCTATCTGACACGTTTGGCCAAGAAATGTAAAAGATTCGTAAATTTAGCCTTGTATGAGTAAGAGTCGTCTTCTGTGATCATGCCCTTAATTCTCGGGACCCGTTTGTTTTATTAAGCATTTCGATATTACAAGAATAAATTTCTTGCTGATAACTCCTAAGGCTTAAACGGTTAAGAGATCGGATTTTTTAAAAAGGTTCTATGAAGACGCGATATTATCGCGTCGAAGAGCAATAATGGTATGTTCGTTATTCCATTATTTCTTTTCCAAAATTTTCGGGTGATGCTCGATATACCAAGTCAATATATGCACCATTGTCTCGTTCTATTGTGTGAAGTTTGTTGTGTTACTTTGTTAGGGCTAGGGATCATTGTTGTGTTCTTTGTGACGTAACTCGAGACTTGCTATTCATGATCACTTTGTATATCGTGCACCAGCCAAGTTTTTGTTAGTCTATTGTTGGAATCCCAAAAGGGTATCGCTCCATTATTCCAACTCGAAAATTTTCGTTGTCTCTTTTCCATTATTCGTCTTCAGCCCTCGATAAAGAAGGGCATTGGTTCTTCAAACAAAAGATTCGTTTGTTTCAGCAACAAAAACAATACTTGTACACAATTATGTCTCTCTGGCTCCAGAGGTCCTTTCTCGAAACACTTAGGATGAAGTAAACCGTGCTTATTGAGGTTAGAAAAGAAAAAAAACCTCTGGCACCCAGGATTTCTCATTAGATCTACTGTACCAAAAGAACATCTTCTATACAATGGAGAGGTTAAGTATTAGATTTATCTTTTCCAAAGATTGGGATGAATAGACCATTTTCGATATATTAAAATTCATACTTGACTCCGAGGCTTGGGGGCGGGAATAAGACTAAAGAAATGTATTATTCATTGAGCCTCAAGATGATTTCTTTTGTTTTATTTCCCCAAGCCTCGCAACCAAGTATGAATTTTAATATATCGGAATTGGTCTATTACCTACAGAGATGAGGGAGAAAAAGGTTCTAATTATAGCGATTTACGGTAGAAAGCTGAGAAACGCTTTTATAGCAGCTGTTCTCGATGCATGAGCTGTTGATTGTTTTTCCCGCAGGATATTCAGGATATTATTATAAGCTATTCAATATATATAAAAAAAACACATGCGACAGAAGTGCCAACAATCGACAAATTGCCACCAGTTTTTTCTGAGTCTGTCGTGATACATTGCTTGATAACTTTGAAAAAATGTTGTGCCTCCACACGCTGCAGGTTAAGTGGATTCTACATCAACTCTTTGACAATGTTACGAGACTTGTGACGTGATTTATCCCCAGTAGGAAGACAATTAAAAAAAGTTCAACGAAGTCAAATGCGGGTAAAAATGGGCAGGAAACACTGAACAAATCCCAAAATTTATGACCCGTTCTGTTTATATTTTTGCCTTATTAACATACTCGTCTCATTTTCATATCAAGCTTTTAAAATAACATCTCTGAATATTGAAAGGCATAGCAATATCAGTACACGCTAAACGTTTGAGCCTCGTACAGACTATAGTTTCGAAATTATTTTGTTATTTCTTCAACAAAGAATCTATGCGGCTGGCAACATGCGATTTTGCAGTTTTTGCGGCTTGCTCAGAGCTGACCCGAAAATTTCTGAAATTGCCCTGGCGAACCAGCTCTTTCGCCTTCTGTTGGTTAACCCGCATACTAATGAGCAAAAATGTAAACATCTACGTTAGCAGAGATCCGCCTATCGTTATCAATAACGTTTCTTGTTTGTTTTATTGGCTGCTGAGACGAAGCAATGGAATTTCATTGGCTAAAAACTTAACTACTCGAATCACGCCACTGCCTTGCATAATAACTGTTTAGAACCAGAATGCGATCAGAGATGTTTTTTATTGCCCTAAAAAATGGACCAAGTAGTTAAAAATTTTCCTTAGAGAAGGATGCGAACAGGTTTAAGGATATACGGTTGTGCCGTCAGTGGAACAGCGTTTTCGCTGAAGGCGCTCCACTTTAGAGCAGGCTGCTAGCATTATATCAGGAGGAGTAAATCATCAAACTGGTGTTCTCTTCCTGAACGCACTTCACTCATTTTTGTGCAAATAAAACGAAGGTAATCTTTAAGAGCATGTAGATGTTAACCGTTTGGCGGTCAATGACTCTCAGTAAAACTTATCTAAGTCACCTTCATTTTAGAAAGGACCTGTCAACTATAACTCTGTTGGAATAAAATGCAGCCTTGTTCAGCAGCATTTAAAGCAATCTAAACTTGTAATGTGTATCATGTATATATTAAACTTTTTATTAAATGTAAGAAACTGTTATAACCCGCGGCCTGTGAAGGATGGTGTTATTGAACTAACGAAAATAAAGATTCTACTGTACTAAAACTTGATGCAGTTAATACTCGAGAATACGAGTTTTTACAATTTGATATTTGAATACAATATCAACTATTAGTAGAACATAAATCAGGAGACCCCTCGTCTAATACTACTTTTTGTTTCAGCATCAAGCTTACAGACAGCAAAAACAACAACCATGAAAAACAGTGACTGTGGAGACTTGACCTTGGAGCCGTGACTGCATTAAAAATCATTAGCTGCTCAGAGGGACACTTTAATAAAGTTTAGGAGGCCTGAGTACACCATGCGGTCTTGTGATACTGGTCAGTGAATGTTCAATCCTTAGCTGTCCAGTTAAATTACAATTGACCGCGTGTATCGCCATACAAAAGAACGACAGCGTCGTACTGCGTCTTCTTATTAGATTTCGATTTCCCTGTTGTTGCGTGGGCGTAAGGCCACGTGACAACCAAAAGTTTGCAGGTGGCTCTTATTAGCCTCCATTTGTTGTTTTAGTCGTAAAAATGCCAAAATATATTTTCTTATCTTAATACGAACAGACTGAGATATGCATTTTTATGCGACAGTTATCTTCCTCGAAACACTGCTAAGATGACTGATTCAAAAGAGAACTATACTAGGAAAGAAAATTCTGGAAGAGACCTGTCCCACCCGACTATGACAACTTGCCGAATTCCGTCTTTTCATTCCGCTTTGGCTCGTCCGTGCCCAGTTTGGCTTTATGAATTGATCGCCTTCTTGGATTGCACTTCACACCACACCTATAGAACAAGATGCAGAAAGTTGAGATTTAACGAGGAGATTTGGATGGCCTACTTTACAGGCCAATTTGTAGTCAATACAATTAAACTAATGAATTCACAACATTCACAGACGGGGTCTGGAACCGAGAAACGATGTTCTCACAACTTGCAAAGCGGTCACCCTGCGTGGTGGTAAGCGGGTAATAGGTGTTTTTCCCAGACTAAATATTAAGCTAGAAGCGAACCGGCAGAAGAAATGATTAAAACATTGAAAAAATAATATCATGCATCTTTGTTTTTCTTGCATATCGTGTTTGTCTTTTGGTACTGAAATCGCGGGGGGAAACTAAACCGCAATCGTGTTGACAATCGTGTTAGATCTTAACCAACAACAACACGCTCGATCGATTTATAGGTTACATCGTTTTTGCCGAGCGAGGACATCAAAGGACTATGGAAATTATGATGCTGATAAAAAATATTGGAAAAAGTGTCAAATTTATCGGAAGTAAGTATATTCAAGAGAGCCTTATAAATATGAGCTTACAGCGGTACATATCGTACCTGAATAAACATATAGTCACACTTCATAACGTTTCACTTCGTTTATTACGATCAGTCAACACCTTGAATTCAAAGGTAAAATTCAAAACAATCCTAATAAACAAATCACAACTACTACTGAAAGGTCTGTACCTTGAAGTGACCTGAACTTTCCTAAGGTTTGCAGCAAAACACTGCTCGATAGCTCAACTCTTCGGCGGTTCTTGTCAGCTTTACGCAGCTATATGTTGCATATTCCAAACTCTGCAGAGGGAAATTATCTAACCAAAAAAGCAAACCATACGCTATGTCTGAAAAGCGACATAAAACCAAAAAATTTGCGATTTACCAAAATGTAATAGTGAGAAACAGTCCCGTCTTGGGCCGCCTTGATTTCGTTTCGACGTAATTCGCATGATCAGCACACAAATCCGCTGGCGAGAAACTTGCTGATCGCTTTGCAAGTTGTGAGATTCATTTAAGAGAATGTATGGGAAGTAGCTCCCCCCCCCCCGCCTGACTGGAACAAACTGTAATTACTAGTAAAAGTAGCAGTGTAGTTCCAACAACTGAAACAAGTTTGAAGAAAGTACAGAGTGTAATTGTCCTTCATGGGCCTGGCATAAAGGAGCTTTGTGATGTAGAGTTGTGAATAAATACGGTATAATTAAGGACCGAACTCAAGTTTCTTTATTTTTCTAGGAGTCAACAACTATACCTCCATAGAAATTAAGAACCTAATTAAAACCCTAGTTATAAAGATTGTTAGTATTATTATTAATATCATTATTATTAAAACGCAACTTAGCCTAAATTGCCAATAAGTACCCCAAAATACAAGAGACCTACTTTGCCAGACTTCAAAAAAAGTAGCTTCCTATTCACTTTAAGTTTGGGTAACCGGATAACATTTTAAGCTGCGAGAAGTGGACCTACTTTTTCAAGGTTAATCTCCTGTGTTGTCGAGTGAAAAATGGTCAAAAATCGATCTTGCGTTGTCCTCCCTTCGGTTACACTACAAATATTTTTCCACAAGGTCAAGTTTCAAGTAGGAAAAAGACATAACCATGACATAGCCAATAAATGATAAATGCAAAAACTGCGGGCAGAGAGAGGATGGACGTACTGACAGGTATCCGTACTTCATGCATGCGTTGTTGCCATTTTTACTTACGCAGTTAAGTTTAATCTCATTTGAAACTGTGAATTTCTGACCTTTCACAGTACAATTGCTTCTGTGACAACCCAAATATACCACAGTGACTCTTCAACCTTTATATTGATTTCCAACAGTCATTTTAGTATTAGTTCTTTTAAAATAAATGTTCTGTAGAACGGTTTAATGCCATTATACCCTTATTCAGTGGTAGAACCTCTAGCATCAATGTGGCCTTGAATTAACCTTAAAAAAACTATAAAATGCGCATGAATTCTTGATCCTGTGACACTTAAGCTTTGTCGCCAACTAACGTCGTTCTGAGGCAGACGGGTCAGTAGAGTAACTTCAAACGCTGTCTCAAGTTCACGCGAAGTTGATCATCGGTATAATGCATTCTCTTTTCTGGTTTTGTAACGAATAAAACACTTCATCTTACTCACATTGTTCTAGCTGATGAACACCATCCAGGGCGAACAGCAAGAATGTATAAACATATAAGACGTTCTTCTCACGAGAAAACACCACTGCTCCACTAATCCCTCGGCAATTTTCAACGTCGCACAAAAGTATCGGTCAAAACGGCCCGCAAGCATAATAATTACCATCAAAATCTATTTTAATTTGAAGTTAACACTCTGGGTAGTTGGTGGTATTGAAATTGTAGTAAAGGTGGGCGCAGTTCAAACGGACTGCATAGTAGTGAAACAGAGAGATCATAAATGATACTGAACGCTGATCTATTATGAGATTTGTGCAGGACGTCAAAAATCATTTTGTTGCGATACAGCGACACAGATGGTACCAGGGAACCAAAACGCCAAGCAGTCGATTTCTTGGATTTCCTACACTCAAGATTTCAGTCACTGACCTAGAATCGCCTTCTTAGTGAAGAAAAACAAACCAGTAATACTACGGAAGAAATTACTGCTCAAGTAGCTTTCATTTCAATGGTCCTCAGAGAACATCCTAGCTCAAGCTTTACCACAGAAAAGAACTGTTGCCCGGTAGCGGCTTCAGTTATTTTATATGGCTATGCTCATTTGGAAAATATAAAAACATATGTGTATATTTTTATAGAAAAGATAAAATAAGTCGAATAAACTTGAACCTGACCCTATGGCATAACTGATAAACAATACAGGTCTGGCTTGCCACTGAGTGGCTTTCACTCAATGTAAATTTTTATTACGACAGTATAATCATGATCAGTTTACGGAACCAATCCAGTGCATACTGCTCATTTTTTCTGATCCTCTCTGTTCAGTTTAAATAGATGCATTAAAGACTCTATCCCGAAGAACTTAAGAATTACAGAGAGGGATTGTTTCATTAGCAGACTACGAGAAAAATGCCCAAAAGGATTTTAAAAGAAACACCTAGTGTTAAAATTTCAAATGATCATGAACTGAGGGCAGTTTAAAGAAATGCACAAATACGCTTAAATACACTCTGTGAACAACACTTCGTATCAGATAAAGCGTGTTAACCAGTTCCTTACCTCATGAAACTTAGAATAACAAGGAACTGAGGCTTGCATGTATGCTTGAGAAGTAAAGAAGTCAAGACATGTTAATATCCTCCAAAGAAGCGTTTGACACATTAATGATAAAACTGATTTGAACTTCAACCTAGAGTAAAAATGTAACAATCAAACATTCGAAGAGATCAACGGCAAGTGATATTTGTTGGAAGCTCACGGAAAACTTTCTTTTGCCCTGATCCGACATTCAAAGAAATAGTTTCAATCGAGGTGCTTCAGCAATATGAATGCCCGTATCATGGCAATGTAAGGAGTGCTATTAGTTTATCGGCCGGTTTTCGTTGCATTTTCCATTAAACAACTCAATCATTGAAGAGTTTTGATCTTTGAGCCTTAGGAACTGTTAAGTATCTACATATTGATGGCTGACTTGTTTCTAAGGCTGTAATTATAATAATCAGTTTTGTCGTCTTGCACTATCATTTTAATTTGTATTCATCGAAGAATAAAGCCACGAACACAAACTGCTTATTGTTTTTTTCTGCAGTTAAATTTATTAAGATCTTATCAGGATAAAAAGTCATGAAATTAGACTCTGAGGTAATGAAATGACAACGAATATTCAGTGTTGTAGTCAAAAGCGGCAAAAACATGCCTGATGATGTGTCGAAAGGTAGGTTAAGAAAGATGAAAACCGACTTGAAAAGGCACTAGTTTAAGAGCCAGATTCCACTCACACGGCCAGTGGTAAATATAAAGTAAATTGTGATAAACTTAAGCATCTGAATCTAACAGAGTAAGTTTTAATGTACATAAAAGATCCGTTTGCAAGACGAAAACCTACAGCTGCGCGCCATTTAAGAGAGCTTGACAATTATGATAATTGAGTACACTACCTGCTCGTTGGTCTTCCTCTTTACGTGCAAAATCTCTATCTGAAGAACAGACTAAAGAAACTGAAAAAGTTGCAGCGAAATATTAATTCCTCCTAGATGAAGATTCAATATATTAGCGAGTGGTTTTTACTCTTTCCAAGTTGCTGCACTTTTACTGCAGACGGGTGCACCTCAATCAATTTACTTTGACCGATTCAACCACCGATTCGGATAGAAGTCAGAGATAGAACGTTTTCGAAGCTGCATATGTCAGTTCTCTAGCTTTGACCAACCGATCTCGTATCTCCCAAGAATAGATCCCAGGTTGTTCCTTCAAGTACTGTTCGATTCTCTCTGCCAAGTGAGGGGTGATAACTCGGGGTCTGCCTACACCTTCTCCGCCGCCATATTAGATTGAGCCATCCTTTCCGGCTATACTTGGACAACAGCTTGCTGGCAAAGCCATGAAAGATTCCCAAACGACGGCATATGTCGCATAGTCGACCTCGTTGTAGTGAAACTTTAACGATTTCGTACCGAATTTCCTTTGGAAGTGGGTTTCCATAACTACGTCCAAGTTGATTTTCATGTATAAATTAGTCGTCCTACGAAAAGATTATCACTCTTGCTGCATTCTTCGGCCAAGGTTCCCAATGTTAAATGCAACACGATGTCCTATAGGAACACCGCTGCTTACTGCTTTTGATGTCAAAAGTGTCGTTAATAATAAAAGTTTTTTGCAAAAGGTACGGCATTTATCGCAGAGATTTGATGTTTCAAGAATTCAATCAATAAAATTAAAATTGAATTATTTTTCCAACCTGTAGGTGGTCACAGTGAATCTCCCATCCTTTCGTGGTTGATGTTTGAACTTAGTAGATACCTTTTCAGCTATCTAGCTGACTAAACCATGAACAAATATCCCGCTTTTCGTGACTCTAGTCAGGTTTCCGTAATTTGTTCCGGCCTCGTTGAACAGTGTCGTCTCCCAGCGGCAGAGGCGGCGGCATCCCACGCTGCCTCTTGAAAAGTCACGCTCCCTTGGCGTGATTTAGTACTCGAACACATGAAAAACGTGTCTTTGTGGTTTAAGAACCGATAAACGTAATAAATCAGAAATCTGACAGCGCTATAAAGCGAAAGCACGTAGTAATAGTCATCTTAATAGTCACGTAGTAATAGTCATCTTCCACTTGCATAATTTTACTCAGTTTGTTTTTCCTCAGAGCTCAAGACACCGCTACTACACTTCGTTTAAGTGGTTTGCGGGTCGGGGCTAGCGATTTTTTTAGTCTTTAAAAAAGTAACCACCATTTTTGTCTAAGTGAGGCCAGTTAGCGAACGTCTCCTCTTTCTGAAGATTTCAAGCTCTTCCGCTGATGTGACCACCTCTGCTAAAAGCCTTGCCAAACTTCTATAAATCGAGACTGACCCGCTTTACTCATCTTGTTATTAACGTGTGTTTTAAGCTAAAAATAAGTGAGAACTGAACACTCTTACACCCTTGAAGGTATTTATGTGTAACATTGCGATGAAACTTATATAGACGTCCTTGTGGAACTTGAGAAATTGCTTGTAAATGGCAAAAATACAGCTTCCTGTCAGACAAATCTCGATCAGTCTCCCAAGTAGTATATCAAACGTTACAAACAACAAAAACGAACTTTGAAAAACTTTTAAGTTACAAAAAGGTTTAAAAGCACAATTGCAATCCGTTTCTTTCTTCTTCAAATTTATAAATCCGCTCCTCCTTACGCATTTGCTGTGTTATGAGCAGTTATTTTTTTTGTCTCACTCAGTGTGGTGGCAGGCTCGCTTTGCTTGAGTTTTGATATATTTCGTAATACAGCCCCTTTAACTGACTCAGGTACTTCGAATAGCAGTGATCTTTTATTTATTTATTTATTCATTTACTAGCTTTTCTGGACACAGGCATGCCCAGAGAGAATGTGCACGAACGGGACTCATAGGTCCGATGCAAGGTGCCATCCCTGCCCAATCCCACAACCCGTAAAGGTTGGCCACACCACCGGGGTCTACGACCCCTACGCTTCTCGAACAGTGATGTAGGTTCTTTTACGTCCCACAAGAACAAATCAGTAAAAGTGCTGCGAGAGAAGACTTGAAAGTCTAACCATTTGCAGATGTCATCACAAAGGCAGCACTTTCTTCTTAGATATTTAAAGACCCTGAGTGTTGGTCCGGCCGGGGTTTGAACCCGCGACCTACCGCTCAACAGACTGGAGCTCTCCCAACTGAGCTAACCACGCGGTGGTCTAGATACTGGACGAAGATTACGGGTGGATAAAGAGACTGCAGTAGATCACAGATGTTGGACGGAACCATTCCATTCAATGCTTTCTAAGCTACGGTTAGAATAGTTTATTCAATCCGCTTTTGGTGACTGGAGGCCAATGCACGTTATGCAATACCAATACTGAAATATACGGTGTTTAAAACTTAGTATAATTACCAAGAAAATTGTTAAACACAAAAAAGTTAGAGCCTTTGTTTGTTCCGCGTAATACTGATGAAGGTAGATGTGTAGAATTGTGGAAGAGCTAAAACAAACAAACCATATCATTTGTTATTGTGTCTGGGCGTTTTGCAAACTGACATTTACATGCTATAGCGAACTACTCTACAAAGGTATGTTCACAATTCGCTGAAATACCATGCACGTTAGGCACGTTAATTAGACAAATTTTCACCTTAGGCTAGTGTCCGGTTTTTCCAGTCAAGAAGTCTGTTTGTTTTATCTTAAAAGTTCCTTTGTCATACTAATCCCTAAAAAACAACTGATCTTTAAGAAAGAAGAAGAAACATGAAGCTTCATTTAAAATGTTCAGTTCTGATGGCAGAAGGTTGAAGGGTTGGCCTCTGTTCCGCATCAATCTGGATCTAGAAGGGGCAAAAAGTCTACTAATGAGCCATTGGTAGTGCTAGTAAGACTTTTGTACCATCCCCTTTCAGAACAAGCTTCCACCATTTTTATAACTGGTGAAAGAACCCTTGGGAAACTCAAGAATTAGATGTTTGCTGCAGATCGCATATGCCCACACTGAGGTTGCAGTTAAAATACAGTCCAGCAGGGGAATCTAATGAACATTCATGTTCTTACGGTATCAAGGTTCACATAACCGTCAGTACCCACTTTATTAAGTACTCAAACTGCTGGTCCCAGTTATTTGGGTCTCGACTAAAATACACCCCAGAATATTTAAATTTGTTATATTCCTAGACTTTCACTCAACTAAACAGAGACTGACCAAAATCAAACGTATCCCGATCGTGCTCCATTAAGCAATGCACCCCGCTCGGGCTACATTACAGCACGTGATTATAGCATGGTGGAAAGTGGTGTGACAGAAGGTGGGAAAAACACTGCCAATTTTCTTTTTCGTGAATGAACAGAGCAACTTCAACACAAACACGAAGCCTCAAGCTAAAAAGCAACGATTTTTTAAAGTCATCCCAGAAGAAGAAAAAGCAGCTAGTGGCGGAAAAAGATGCAGATAATATAAGGAAAGTACTTTGTAAATCAATCATTCAGTGGCATGGTTTTAAGAATTAAGTTTCTGTTGTCAATAAGTACCGAGTCGACTGTTTTGGTTCGCTTCGGTTATTCTTTTGTTGCTGTTGAAGTGAAAGTCTAGAAATATAACAAAACCCTTAATGTCAGGTTCCTCGGGAAACCAGTTAGTTTTGTTTTCCCTCGAGTCCTGATGTTTCCCGAGACGAACATCAGGACTCTCGGGAAAACAAAACTAACTGTTTCCCTCGGGATCTGACATTAAGTGTATAATGTTTCCTGGTGATGTCAAATACAACAGAAGGTGAAGGCCTTTCGGTTTTCCCTGTAGCAATCATTTTTTAGTCTCATATAAGATTGTCATCCCATTGTTATTTGTCAAAGTAAGGATATACTCTACTTCAACTGGGGTACAGTCATCACTTCCCTTAACCATAATGCTTAAGTCTAGATCGTCGGCATAGACTTCATGCTGTTGACCGGACTAATGTCGTACAACTCAATTCAAATAAACTGGTCCCAAAATAGTACCCTGAGGAACACCCCTAATTATGGACCAGAACGAAGACATAGTACCATTAGATACAAGTCTCTGGAGTCTTCGAGGAAAAAAATGATCCAGTAAATAATATAAGGATTAATGGATACCTCTTTTAATTTGTTAAATATAATAGCTTGACTAACTGAATCAAAAACCTTTGAGAAGGCAATTGCAAACAGTCTAACACAGTCTGCCTCTTTCATATCAGGCCATTTCAACCATGTGATGACTTTTGATAAAGGCTAAAGCTGTCGGTTACCTGGTACGAGCTTGCATTGCTTGGTCTCTCCCTGTGAGCCAAGGTTCAACCACAGGTAGCCCAAGCTCGAAGTATGAGCATCGGCATTGTTGCGTAACATTCGAAATATAACGATTTGTATGGGAAAAGAACTATCGTTTCTGACCCTCTTTATGTATAATCGATCTGGGCTTTTCGATGAACTAAGGAATGGCTTGATTTCCATTTGATAAACATTACTAACATTACTCTCTTCTCGAAAAGGTAAATTATAAGATACGTTACAGAAATATGGCTTTACTGGTTCAAAGACGGGATTCCTTAGGACTAGGGTCGATACTGATTAATTTCCAAATTTCTGTCACAATTTGGAATGTAACAGAAGGAGTGAAAAAGAACTTCGTGACCGGGACCAATTAAGCAGCAAACTCTCTCCAAAACTAAGTGTGTCAAACCATCTGGTCCTGCTTTCGTCTTTTTGGGGTGGAAAGGAATTTAAAAGTGAACGCCCTTGTAAAATCAGAAATATCAAAACGTTTTTGAGCAGTATAATTGAGAATATTTGTTAACTTTCTCACAAAAGAACGAAAAACTGAAAGGTTCCTCCAGTTGTTTAAACTTTCTTTCACTATAGTAGTATTGACTGTTGTCCACCATTGTTTAGTCAACTTAACATGCTTGTTCAGTGTTCTTAATCGGTATAACATCAATCTGGTTCTGCGTAAGTCACAATCTGGATGCATTGTCTTTTTATTCAATTAAAGTTAAACCCGAGGCGACATGATGACCGGATCCTTTGATGAATGCCTGACTCTGAGAACTGAGCAGAACTCCTTAAAAAAGGATGACGTAATTAAATGCATGAAAAACTCCACCGCAAATTGCAAATTGGCACCGGCAAAAAAATGGACCAGTTGACTCCCAGGAAATAAGCGTACATTGCCATTTTAAAAAGACCATGGGAGTCTCTGAATTCAGTACTCTTAATATATTCAAATTCACTTGTGGTCTGATTTAACAAGTCCATGCACGCGGTGGATACTGCCAAACTATAATGGCACATTGGTAGCAAAAATTTGAAATATTCCTGATCCCCCGGTTAGCGATTTAGCAAGGTGGCTTTAAGCAAAAGTCTGAAAGACCGGTTGCAGATTAAGGTGTTTGAAATCGCTGGCAATAATTGGCATAGCATTCGGTTATCTCATTGGAAAGAAGTGTTTCACAAGCATTTCCAGAAATTCAATAAGATCTTCAGGATCGTAAGTAGGACTTTGGGGATGATACAGAGCTGCTGGGTAGAACTGCGGATTGATGTTCGGCAAAATTACAGCCCCAAAGCAGTCAAAGTCATTATTAGAGAAATTAGTAACTGTTGCCTTCATTGAGCGATCCCAAGACTTTTACCAATTCTACCTCAGTGCCTGCAGCTTTCAGAGGGCATTACCCTGCACCCAACCTAATAGTATTCTGCTTTGGCATTTAAACCACTGAACTATGTAACTCTTTGTTGACAGTACAAAGACCTCAGTTAATTTGGTCTTTACCTTCTTTAGTTGTAGACTTGGTTGGTACAGCTTACTACCCCACTTCTTCCAGCCATCTGAAAACAAAGAGCAAGCTGAAATAAAGACCGGGGGAAGATTGCTAATTTTTCGTTTAATAAACTGATTATTAACTATAACTTAACCTCAGGGTGAGTCAGAAATGTCTGCGTCAATGAACCACCTAACTGTGAGCATTAAAAGGCACGTTAAGTTAAGTAATGTTTGTGGCATTTTATGTGTCATTGGAAGCATTGGATCCATTACAAATTTAATGCAGGTTCCGAGTATCACTGAATTTCCAGCAATTGCGTTCAAGTGCTGACCACTGAAAGTATATGAATTGTCTCGTTGTTTTATTTCCAATTTCTCCTCTTGGAGATTTGGAATTGATAAATCTTATGAACTGTAGAATACCATCACAATTTGATCTCTTGCCCAATTAATCTTGCATTAATTATGATAAATAAATACTCCCAGTTCAGTTAGATCCATTCATCCCCATTGAAGCAATCTGCTAAAAGTTGAAGGGTGATAAACCTTTCATTCGTTGTCTCAAGAAAACTTAGAAAGCTTAGATGCTGATATTGATGAACTTCCAAGTCTAAAGCTGGTGGTGTTGCATATTATGTTTAAAAATCTGCAATTGTTTCAAAGATAGTTATGAACTCTACAGGTCTGAGGATGATTTTGAGGCCAATTTGGTTAAGATTAGAAACCCCATGGCAAAAAATACCCTCTGTTGCTCTGCCTATAGGCATCCATCCTACAGTCTAGAAAGCTTCATGGAGTACATGGAGCTCATCTTTCACCAACTGTCCAATGAAAAGAACAGTCTTTTTGTTACAGTGGATTTTGACATCAATTTTCCAACTTGTAATTGTCCTCAATAAAATGAATTTTTAAATTTAATGAATGGAATTTTTCTTCTTCACTATATCCTTCTACCTCATTGTGATCATATCTGTGATAAATCTACCTTAACAAAATAGAATTTAGATATAGCAGCCAATTTTACAAATTGCTCTTGTCAGATTTGAGATCATTATAGCTAAATAGGCTCTTTAATTAACACACTTCGAATTCGTTTGCTATTTATCATCATATACCCAACAAGGGCGAGTGAAATAGCTGTTCAATACCTACTTCTATGAACCCATAAGTGGGAATCTAATTTCAAACGTTGCTGACTGTGTCTCTTAGTTTCTTATTTAACAGGATCTGGAGAAAAACTTAAACTATTCTTTTGCATAAAGGCAGCATGGAGACCATCATCATGACTGGGTTTTCAGAAAAATATTCAACCTCTCATGTCCTTATTTAACCCGATTCCTGAATTAAGAATCTACACTTGATTCCATCGACCAAAGGAAAATTGTTTGTAATATATTTTCCTTGCTTAATTCAATGCTGCTATATAAGCAAGACCATAATGGCAAGGAGGTATTGTTAATGGTTGGCCTCAATCTTATCTTTCCAATAGAGAGGAGTTTGTGTGTGTAAATGGTTATAACTCTAATAATAACCCTAGAACTTTTCCTGTTCTTCAAGGAACTGTTTTGGGGCCATTGTTGTTTCCCTTATACACATTAATCTACCCAAAATGGCTCAGAGGATTTCACAGTTTTTGCTGATGACACCAACATCTACTTCTGCTCTAAGGACCTGAATGTTCTTGAAAGATTATTAAATAGTGAGCTAAAATTAATTGCTAACAGGTTGAGATCCAACCTTTAGCACTAAAATATGATAGAAGACAACTAAAACAATCTAAGATACGACTGCTTACCAAGGGTAGAATGAGTCATAAGACAATTTCCAGTTTGCAACTATGTAAAATAATCAATGCCTTCTATGTCCCGTTAAGATGGATTTCGTGACACTCTCCACGAGTAATCCTCTCCTCTTGTACACTAGCCATACGTTTATCAACTGTGGAAGAGAACTTTGTTATGGATAGCGGTATCATGAAGGCAAGTAGACGCTTAACTTGTCTACTTCATTTTCATAATGTATTTGCATAACTGTGCATGATCATGACAACCGTTGTTTTCTGGGTTGCTTTTGTTTCAGCTTTTTCAATAAACTCGTTTAAAAAAAGAAATACGTTAATTAGCAATACCACAGAAGCAAACCTTTTCGGGGACAGTTTTTAAAGCTATTCAAAACACTCACAGCCCGTGAATTATCAAGTGTAAAAATTCTCGCACTTCGCCTCGATTTTTTAACCTTGATAAAAACAGTTATGTTCGTGTTGTAAATACTGCTTGAAATAAAGTTGAAAAAAGCCCATGTTATCTCATTCAAATACTCCACGTTAAAAAAATCCACCCCAACTTGTTAAAACACGTCAACTGGAATCAACTTGACAAATCTTTGCGATTAATTTGTCACCACATGGCTTTCTTTCTTTTCCACCAAAAGGATGTATCACAAAAGCTTGAAGCCCACTTCATTGAATGAAGATGAATGGCAGGCGAATTCTATGGAACGAACTTGGGGGTTGATTTCCGGCCTTCGTTGTTTCGATTTCCGCTTGCAGGACCACAAGACACGCATGAAGTGGGAGCGTTTGGAAGGATGAAAATAATCACGTAAAGCTGCAGGTGAATATGGGGTCATAAACAGATTGATCCGAAAAACGCGTTCGAGTGACAAACAGAGCATTGGTAAACGTGTTTTCGTGGCCTACATAAAAATACCTCTGGAAGGTTTTTTTTAAAATTTTCGTCGCTTCCTACCCCTGAGTCCTTTCGCTTCACTGAAAAGTTGTTATGTGTTATCAGCCCCATATGCATAGCCCAATATCAAAACATCAAGACAATATTTTTAACGAGCATTATTTGTATTCATGGCACGGTTTTTGGACCGATTTTGATGCAAACAAAGACTGTTGCGCACAAAACTAAATCAGCAAAAATCTCGTAACAGAACACGCCAAATGGTTTTCGTTTTTTTGACTGTTGACATGAAGTTTCGTCTCATATAAGCCTATATCATATTAAGGAATGCGCACAAAGATGGAGCGGAGGTTTTCTTTCTCGCAGAAAAATCTGAGTAGTATAAAATGGGTCTTATATTAAGCTGTCCATGTATAAAGGCCATTACATAGGTTTGAAATGGAAGGTGGTTTTTGGACTTCTGGTAACAGGCTCCTTTTTCACGTTCTCGTTCTTTCATCACTCGACCCTCTTGACCCTCGCTCCACCCCTCAATGGGAATACGATTTTCAAGATAACAGCTATCAAAGGAAAGTGATGTTCTAAAATACTGTTTACATGAGACAAAGAGAGACGTTCGCGTGAAATCGAGCGCTGAAGACCTCAAGTACTAATCACAGTAAGTACGGCAACATATCGACACCAGCGCAATCTTAGCCGTGGAGGGGAACATATTTTTTTCTTACATTAGCACTGTTTTATTTCCGAACATTTGCTGGTTGCTAACGTACATGTGTGCGTGTTAACAAAAGGTAACAACTCGTGATGACTGTTATAAAAATAAGGGGGCTGAATTATGTTAAGGCTTGATTTTAAAGTTGAAGTTCAACTGAAGACGAGATTGAGGATGTTTTGGTAAATTAGGCGGAAGTTTGTTGGCCCTTTTGAAAAATTAATGCGCGGTACAAGCAGTGGAAGCATAAAGTATTCATGGCCAAATAGTATAAACAATTGGAACACTTGCGCTACTGTAGTTTCTTTATGCTAACTGTGGATATTTTTGCTAAAATATAATGCCGCCTGCACCTACCAACGTCAAGAGTTAAGTTGGGGGAGTCGATCAGTTGCATCAAATTCAGATAAGAAAATTAAACCGATCGTTCGCGTGACTTCTCGTTATTAAGTAGACCTCGATCTAATTGCTTGATATCAAAAATATCATGTAATGACGTAGACGGAGACACGTGGTTATTTCTAAACCATCTCCAAACAATGTGACATTTCGTGACGATTGCCTTTAACGAGTGCAGGCGGTGGAAAACTACGGCAATCGCGAAGATCTGTCGTAGTGTGACGACAGTGCCGAAAGTTTTCCGAATGGAAGCCGGAACGTTTCGGGCTGTATTTTTCTATTTAACCGTTCGTCCGCCGGCTAGACAACAAACAGGAAAATGTATCAATTTGATACAAGTAGACACGGTTTCTAGACACCAAGGGTGAACTGTGCTTAATTAATGGAAGGTTCTTCTTGTACAGGTGCAGGTGAGACAATCGTTCAGTGATCTGAGGTAGAATGACTTTGGCCTTGCTTCAATGCCATGCTCCCATAATGTCTCATGTGAGGCCTGCGGCAATGTAGCTCATACTACATTAAATTTAAGAGAATGATTAAAAGGACATCAACTACAAAGAACTTTGACACTAAAAACAAAAACGAGTTCATACGTTTATAAACAATGTTAAAAGGGCTGCACTAAGAAATGCAATACGAGAGTTATTTACTGTGAGCTGCCCAACCGCTAATAGACGTTTCTATGAATATAAGCTTGATTTGCGCCCCGGACGCTAGTCACGATTTAAATGTTTTTAATACACAGTGTTCTGAACCGTGAATTGTCTAGCATGGACCTCGTATATGCAATGCAAGTTTTTTTCTGCTGTTTGTAATACTCGTATATTCTCCAATACCTTATTTCAGAGAATCGCCATGAGGTTAAATTGCATACATTACGATTTTTCGATCTGCCACACAGCACTTGACGCATCTTTCTTTCCGGTGCCTTTGTGTGCCGCATACTCAAGCATCCAATGATAAACTCATAACATTTAAGGAAAAAATCAGTTAGAGATTCAAGTAAATATTATGATTGAAAGGACCTGCTACTGAAGGCCAGATATAGCCTGTCTCACTATGATCTTGAAGTACAGGGTTAATCATGACTTGTCAGAAGGACTTGTAAGATTGAGCCATGGACTTCTACATATTTAAGACATAAGATGCTCAATTAACGACGATTTATCAGTCAAACATGACATTTATTGACGTTGCTCTTCATCCGTGGTATAATCTCCTCGTTCTAGCAGAAGACATCTAGAAAAAATTTACTGCTCTTAGCATAA